GTGTCTATATACACGTTTGTGTCCATCATGTATACACATTACTGGTATATAAGGTGCAAGTGTGAGTTTGTTTCTTGTTTGAAGCATCAGTCAAGTCCAGTTTAAATGAAACCCAAACTCCAAAGTGAGAAAATACTACATTTGACATATAACTGACAATAAAGCGTTCGTTTGCCTGGCAAGATATAATAATACATTACAGCAACATTTGATCCTCTCACTACTGCTTTTGTTTGTCGTTGTTGTTGTTGTTATTGTTGGTGTATTGACGCTCCTTTCAAAAAGCTTTAGATCATTACAATTTAGAAGTCCTCTTCGATCAAGGCTGAAAAGTCCAAAAAGGCAAAGAGGGATACAACATCCCAAATGAATGACCGAGATACTCGATAACAAAAGAATTCTCCCTAATTGGGAACTGGACCCGGGTCTCCAGTCTCCTGCGTGGGATAGCGAAGTGCTAACCGCTTCACCACAGACGCCTGTCACTTATTGGTGCGGGTGCTCCTACAGTCTGCTACGCTTGTCAAGGAGTTGTGTCGCTCACCTTCTCCATTTCCTTCTTTCTGGAGGGCAAACCTTTTTTGTTTTAAATAGTCAGGATCATACACGAGAGCAAGTTTAGTAAGTTATGTTCAATGATATTATCTGTTATTTAAAAAAAAAAAACTATAAGGTTTTCGGAGGTCTGTCAAAGCTACAGAAGTTAATACAACACAGACAGTATGGAAATTTACACACGTTGTCCATAATAGCACCAAGTAGTGCCTTTTAATACTTTGGTAGTCCAACAATTAATGTACAGTCAAACCTGCCCTGACGGCCACCTCTATAAGACGGCTACCTGTACAAACGGCCACTTTTCATTCCCCCCCTTGCGTTTTTTCTCTATAATTTAACTGTGCCGCGGCCACCATATTTTAACACACAACCCCTATTACACTAAGCGATAAAACCTGTCTTGGACGGCCACCTTGGCTAAAACAGCACCTGGACATGGATGGCTGGTGCCTTTATAAATACAAATGTATATCAGTATAAAAGCAATATATATTTTTTTTTTAAATAAATTTTTTGGAATTACAAACGGCCACTTTCGATTACCCCCAACCGCCCCCGCTCTTTTTCTATATAGATTAACTGTGTAAAACGATCACCTGTCCAATGCGGCGGCGGCCACCTAATTTTTTCAATCCACAGCCAAATTTACAGGCCAGACGTGGTCACTCATCGCCCGACGCTTTGTCACAATTTTTGAATTGGCACCTGACGCTGTGGGCGGGCGGTCATAATCCATTCACCTGTCGTTATTCATGAATGTTTGCCCAAGTTGACCAATGAGTAACTATAAATGTTCAGCTTCAGGTGAGGGAATTTAAGTGTCATAATTAACCTATGAGCCCCGCCCACAACTCATGTACAAATCGAATTGTGAGGTTTTGTTTACCATATCTGTAACAAAGTAACAAGAGACGTTGACGTGAACTTGCCACCGACGAAGCGTCGCTCGTTCTCAGATGGTTGCGACCCATGAGTTTGTTTACCATGGCACTTGGTCTTCATTGTGTTACGTAATATGTCATTTATTTCACCCTGGCACAAAATCTGCATAAAAAGAACAAAACAAAAAGTATTTAACAGAAACACAATAGCAACCCTTTTTCCCCTAAGTAAACCAAGAAAGCCTTTTGAATTAGGCTAACTGAAGTCCATAGCCTGAGATCAGCTCCAGTTTGGACCTCAGAAGATCGAATGGTTTGTTTTCTTCATTTTGATAAGTCCTGCCTAAGACTGCCACTTGTGTTATACGGTCACTTTTCTTCTTAACAGTGGGTGACCATTGTACATTTATATACAAACATTTCATCTCCTCGTAGGCCCCCTCCCTTCATAGTAAAGAAGAAGAAGAAGAAGAAGAAGAAGAAGAAGAAGAAGAAGAAGAAGAAGAAGAAGAAGAAGAAGAAGAAGAAGAAGAAGAAGAAGAAGAAGAAGAAGAAGAAGAAGAAGAAGAAGAAGAAGAAGAAGAAGAAGAAGAAGAAGAAGAAGAAGAAGGAGGAGGAGGAGGAGGAGGAGGAGGAGGAGGAGGAGGAGGAGGAGGAGGAGGAGGAGGAGGAGGAGGAGGAGGAGGAGGAGGAGGAGGAGGGGGAGGAGGAGGAGGAGAGGAGGAAGTTATTGCAATCCCTGTCTTTTTCTCCCCAGACTCTACGCTTTTCCGTCTAGACCTGGAAAACCAAGATTTTGTGCAATACAGAAATAAAAAAAACCCAAAACAATTAAGTTCTCCATGCTGGTTGATGTGAATAACAAAAATCGCATTCACTTCAGAAAAAAAGTACATTTTAACTTCTGCTCTAACTGCGACCTGGCTACATACTGAATGCCCGAGTAAGTCTGGGCAGAGATGTCAGCATCTTCATTGTACTGGAAGCAAAAGTGAGCTGGTTAATGGACAGTATTACCTAAAATGCCTACTAGCACCTGTGCGGCTCATGATCCAACGACAATGGACACTGAAACACCCATCTACTCCTGATTTATCAAGTTTGTGAAGAGTGTGGTTCATCAGAAATGCAAGCCAGCTGCAATACTTGGGTTCCAACCTCTGAAGGAAAGTGGACGGCTTATCGAGGTAAATAATTCCTATCTTTTTCAGAAAAGAGAGGAGTGTTAACAAGATCGGTTGGCCTTTCTTCGATGTTTTATGGGCGGCTACAGCCTTTTACTTAAAGTATTTGGGCTGGGCATCGGGCACTCCAGATTTGCGATACATTTTACATTTTTCAAACTAGGAGATTTTCAAAACTCAAGATGCGACATTTAAACTGCAGGGCAAGTTGACAGACGTCGATAAATCTCCTCTTCCGTGTGAAAGCAGTTCCTCCAACGGCTAACAGCGCTACATCATGTGTTTTTCACTCACTTCCCCCGGTTGACACTCTACCAAGTGTCACAACAAACTTCACACCATGTTGTGTCTCCGGTGAGTGGTCAAAGCATTCAAATGAAATCGTAGGGTTATTGTTCATGCTATTTGTAGTCAAAGCGTGTCAATGGTAACTTTCAGGGGGATCTCGTGGTCTAGAGATTACGGTGTTCACCTCTCATTCAATAGGTACCGGGCTCAAAACCTGACAGAGACGGGAAAATGTTTTCTCTGTTTTTATTTTCTTTCCTGCTCTCTATCCAAGTTCTGTCGTCTGATATCGTCTCCACTTTTTGCCCCCCCCCCCTCCACCCCCACACCCCTTTTGCCCTCTTCTCTGGGCCCCTGACCCTTTCTGCAGCCTTTCTGCTTCTACTCTTCGGCCTCTTCTTGGCGTTGTAATTCACCGACACCACCTTTTTTCTATGGGTTTTTTTTTCAAACAATAAAAAGAAGAACGGAGGAGACATAAGGACGATAGATGTTGGATAGGAAAGAAGGAGCAAACCATTCCAAAGCACCCGCCAACCACCCGCGTGAACGCTCACAGTTCTCCATTCTCAGCCAAATAAAACCTCTGCCACTTTTCTTCCATTTTTATCACTCATGTACTATCGTACTTATCTTAGACAACCATCCATTGTCGAGGAGAACATTGGACGTTATAGACTTCTGGTCGACTTATAGAGATATACATTCAAATGACTTTTGTCTTTGTCACAGAACTAATGTAACACTTTCAATTGTCATTGTCTTTATCACAAAACTAAATGTAAAACATTCAAATAGCTCCTGTCTTTATCACAGAACTAAACGACCACATGACACCTTAAGTGTTTAAAACTGCCAACTCTGTACAGTTGTTGTTTTTTTAAATTGTGAAATCTCTTTCATTCACATCATCTCGCCTTTCTGTTGCCCAGAGCATACAATTCCCAGAGCTAACGTTTCCACTCAATGAAGAAACGAACCTCTTCGCTGAAGCAAACAGTCTCTACAATTTTTTTCAGTCTGTCTCGCTTGTCCCAAAAACTTACGTACTCATTGTAAAACTTCTCTCCAAAGTATCGTCTGGGGTTATTCCCTGGTGGACAGATATGTGACACGGTTTCATTTTCAAATCCTGCCTTAAGATTCTGTAAGTTATGGACTTTTACCAGCCTAGTTCACCGCCACGTCTTCGAACAGATTCCTTGACGTAGTCGCAACCGACGAGTAACCTGCTTCCACATTTTAATCATATTGCACCATTTTGTTAATGATTACTCCCTTTATTAGATCTAGTGGCTTTCCAACAGACATCTTCCCACTTTCAACTGTTTGAACTCACATCAAATTACTCTTTCAGAAGGTGCACTAGATCTAAATCTGGAATCAAACTCCTACTCACCGCAATAACAGGCTTGCAGCATTTTTTTTAAAAACTCGAATTCAGGTTATTTTTCTAACTTAAAAAAAACAACAACCTTTTCTGGGTTACTCCAAGATATGGTTGATGCAGCAGCGCTCTCATTACTAGTTCAAATTTGAGCATAAAATATGACATCCAGACGATCAAACAACAAGATGAGCAAAAATTGGAGAAGTAATTCACCGTTTCCTCGCGGTCATCGAGCCTGGGACAGTAGGTATGTCTGTTTGAGTCAAATCCCAATTTCGCAAAGTTGTATCTATGTAAGTAGAGGTCTATCTTAATACAGAGAAGGCAAACAAATAACAAACAAGTAAACCAACAAAAGGTGTGTCTGACAAAAGATTTACACTAACAAACAAGCAAACAATTAAACAAACAAATAAACAAACAAGCAAGTGAGTCTGACAAAAGAGTTACACTAAACAGCAAGCAAAATATTAATAAACAAAAAAACAGCAAATAAACTAACAAAACAAAGCTAAAGTATGTGTGAGAAATAAATAACACAATCAAACAAACAAACAATCAAACAATCAATCAATCAAACAAACAAACAAACAAACAAACAAACAAACAAACAAACAAACAAACAAACAAACGAAAAAACAAACAAACGAAAAAACAAACAAACGAAACAAAAATACAAATAACCAAACAACTCTTCACTTTACAAGTCAGTATCTTTTATTGCAAAAATAAAATCACAATCAGCAATGCAAATTAAAGGACGAACATGAAGAATTTACGGGATTTTGTGTAGATAAAACAACCAAGAAGCATGATATGTCATAGGTGACTTGCTACACTTCTCCGTTTTATTGTACAGAGTAGAAAAACATTTTATCCCCCTTTTATCCCCCTAGTCCTGCTTCTGTTGCTCTTTTCAAAGCCGTTGCCCAAGTCTGATTCTTCTTGCTTTTTTTCTCGGACTTGTATTCTGCTTTTTAAAAAATATTTTATCCTGCTTTTTGTGGAACATTCATCCTTTTATGATCCGATTCTGCTTGCTTTTTTATGTCGAACTTTTATACTTATTTTTTTTCCATATTTTTATCCTGCTTTTGTCGGACTTTTATCTTTTTTTGTTATACATTTTATCCTTCATTTTGTCTCATACTCATATGTAGCACTTTTATCCTACTTTTATCCAGCTTTTGTTTGCTGTCATTCTGCTTCTTTCGTGGTGTCGTTTTACTTTTATTCAATTTTGACCTGATTTTAAGCTGCTTTTGTACCCCTTACTTTTTCTTCTACTTTTCTTTTGATTTTAGTTTAAATAAATAATGTGTTCTTCGCTTTTCCTTTTATCCAATTTTGATCAGAAAGACAATTATTTTTTAACCAACAAATTTAAAACAAAAAACAACTAGGGAGAAGTAATGAAATAACGAAGAAATGAAGACATGGCGAAATAAAGAAAGAAATGAAGATATGTAGAAATAAGTAAGGAAATTAAGAAATAAGTAAAGAAATGAAGAAATTAAAAAATGAAGAAATGAAGAAATAAAGAAAGAAATGTAAAAATGATTTTGTCAATTCTCAAAGAGGAACTGGAAAATGAACAGAATGTACAAATAATATATCATGATGAAATCTATCTATCTATCTATCTATCTATCTATCTATCTATCTATCTATCTATCTATCTGTGTGTTCAGCCATGATGGTTCTTCATGTGAGTGTCGTAGGAGACTTGCTGAATAAAACTCTGGTTACAGCTCTTGCAGTGAAACAGTCGGTAATCTGAGGGGAGAAATTGTCATTGTCAATTTATTATGTTTTACGTCCCCATCGACACAATTAGAGAATCTGATAATTATGTGGGAAGACGGACAGTGGTACGTCAGGGTCTGAGTTGTGGGTAAGTAGATGAGAGAGAGAGAGAGAGAGAGAGAGAGAGAGAGAGAGAGAGAGAGAGAGAGAGAGAGAGAGACAGAGAGAGAGAGACAGAGAGAGAGAGAGAGAGACAGAGAGAGACAGAGAGAGAGAGACAGAGAGAGAGAGAGAGAGAGAGAAAGAGAGAGAGACAGAGAGAGACAGAGAGAGACAGAGAGAGAGACAGAGAGAGAGACAGAGAGAGAGACAGAGAGAGACGGAGAAAGACAGAGAGAGAGACAGAGAGAGAGACAGAGAGAGAGACAGAGAGAGCAAGAGAGAGACAGAGAGAGAGACAGAGAGAGAGAGAGAGAGAGAGAGAGAAAGCGAGCAAGAGAGAGGGACAAAAAGAGAAAAGAGAGAAAGAGAGGGGGAGAGAGAAAGAGA